ACCCTCCCCCCATCTCCCCACAAGCTCGCCCTGGAAGGGGTTCAGGGCCACTGACGCAGCCTGGAAGGCTGCTTGCGTGTCAGGGTGGAGGGCGCAGGGCTGGGAAAACAAACAGGGCCGGGCCACGGAGGCTTGGGCTGGGGGCTGGAAGGAAGTGCCCGGTGCGGCTGCTGCAACGTAGAACAAAGCCCTCTCGGGAGTCCCGTCACCCCGCAGTGACCCCAGACCCACCCTGCTGAGCCGCGGGGCTCTCCGGCCTGGCCTGTGTGCAGGCCGCACCGCCAGGAGGGCGCACGTCGGGCGCGTCCCACGGGCTCCGGTCCTCGCTTCCCACAAATCCAGCCCGCGGGCCTCCCTCCCCAAAAGACAGTAGGGACAGCGAGGCCGACCGTTCAGCTTCACCCCTCCAGGACCGAGCAAGGCTGAGGGGAGACTCCAGGCTAATGTCCTCCGTCAGGAAACGGAGTGACGCTGAGACGCGCTGGAGCTGGCGGGCAGCGGTGCCAGCAGCCCGAGAGGGGGCCAGGCAGCTCCCAGGTGGACGCAGACCGAGGGGGCGACCAACTTGGCCGAGACGAGACTCCCGCCTGCCGGAGAGGGCCTCGGCTAAGGCGGCAGCGGGAGGAGACTGTTGCAAACAGCTCTTCCTCATACATATTTCATTACACAATCAGATAATGCGTCCCACCACCTTCTCAATTATTCACAGATAAACATTTTCAAGACGTTTTGACATCTGTCTTAGTGCCTGCTATTAATTTAGTAATCACTGTAGTTAAAAATGTATGGGATTTTTGCCGTCGGAGTACCTCCTCTCGGCGCACGGGCCCAGTGTTGGGCTGCGGCAGGCAGCCGGGCCCTCGGGAGTGAAGACACCTTTGGAAGTAAGATGGCCTGTCCAGAGCGTTGACACTGTTATGGAAAGATTAAACAGGTATCTGATTATTGTTTTATATATATGTTATTGTCGGAGGTGACGACTGCCACCTCCCCCCTCCGCTCACCCTCCCCTCATTCTTTTTTCCACGGCAGCCTGAAATCCACCACGCTATTTAGTCCTTTGCCCCAGGCAGCGGAAATGGTTTGTTTCATCCAGGCAACCAGGTTGCAGAGGCAATGCTAGTCTGCTTGAATGAGACAGAGAGATATAGATTGATGGTGATAGATAGATAGATAGATAGATAGATAGATAGATAGATAGATAGATAGATAGATAGATAGATAGATAGATACTGGTAAGTAGGGTAGATCCAATCATAAAGCTGTTGGGTATTCCTCCCTAAAACAAAACACATCGAACAATAGAAGTCTGGCTCAAGACATCCCAAATCTCTGATGGTTTTGCTCTCCTAGGCCATATCCTCCACTGAGGTAACAAGGACATTTTTGAGAGAGAAAAATGAATTTGCTCCTGGGACTGTACATGGTATGTTTGTGGCTATGAGAAAATGTGTTGCTTTTCTGTGTGCATGATAAATGCTGAAATGGACACAACTATGTACAGGTAATTTTTTTGAAAATTCTTGTAAGATTGGAAAGTAACAGAAAATATTTCCTTATACTATTTCTTAAACAGCAAATGCTACTGCTTATTATAAGGACTCTAGATAAACTACCCCCCAAGATGGGGGAGACTATCCCAAGGCAAATAAATTTGTTTCTTTGTGCTCTGAGTCTCATCTACAAAGTTGAGACTTTGGGTCTGGAATGATGAATCAGTCATTTCTTTCTGTCCTTTTGTCCCAGTCACTTTCTAAGGTGAGTCAGCAGATGAATTCTCACTTGAAAATAAGCAACAACAACAACAACAAACAAACAAAACCCAACAAACCTGTGTGGAGATAAATAGCCTTTGAAGAAGCTACCTTTCCAACAAAGATGAAAATTACATGACTCCAAAGTGATCTTCACTACTTATTGCTCAAAAACCCCACAAGAACAAACTCACTTAAATTGTCCAGGAACTAAGTATAGAGTGGAAAAAGAAAAGTTCAGAGCTTGTCCCAAAAAAGAAGAAATTCTTCTCTATTCACATTGGCATGTCCCTTCTGTTTCTCCAACTGCATCTGCTTCACAAGTCCTCCTGCAGTATTTGTGATAGTTTGCTACTTCTTTGCAAAAAAGGGCTCTTCTCTGACTCTGGGAAAGTGGTCATCCGACTTGCTGGCCCAGAAACTCTCTTCTATCCTTCTCTTTTAAAAAAAGAAAGAAAGAACAGCAAATCTTCCCAGATCTACACTATTTTCCGATGAGAGAGGCCAGAAAATGAGCTCAAAGAGAGAAAGTTGGGAAGTGAAGAGGGAGAAAGGCACCATTGCTCCCAGTGTGCCAGCCGGTTCTACAGGTAACCAATGGTAGCCAATGTTCAGTGCTGTTCACTAGACTCTATTTGTTAGTCAAATAGAGCTAAGTTGGAAAGCAAGCTGGTGCCTTTATGCAGTCCTAGACTGAGCAGCTCTGGAAATCCCTTTTGGAAGCCCCCTTACTTTGGCCAGGACCTCAACCTCTGTCTGGCATTGAAAAACAGGGTGAGAACTTCTCAATGTCACAAAATTAGTTTAGTAAATGATGCCATTTGTTTTAGAGTGTTTGTGTGCAGATTTGATCTGTAGGGGATCGGGATGCAAGTTGGGGTAAGAAGGACTGGAACTGAGTGGGCTACCAGTTCTTTTTTAGGACTAAACTTAGATAAGAGAAATGAAAGGGGCAAACAAGGACCCCAGTGAGAACTGAGTGTTCACATCAGAAATTAGAAACTTCTGGTAAGTAATGCTCTCTATTCAAATCCTCTTCCAGGACACAATCTCCTAGGCAAAATAACAACAACAGTAACAAATACAAACAATATCTGTCAAAGTGAATCTTTTCCTGCATTGCCCTCTTCTGGGTGTCTCCAACAGAGCAAGGAGGAAGGTGAGCAGGCTGGCTTCAGGGTGGTTAATGCTATTTCTTTCTAGTTTCCAGGACTTGACCTGAAACCTTTCTTCCAGTGGACTCCATAAACTTTCTCCACTGTCCCTATCCCAGGAAGCCATGCAAGCTACATCCTAGTTGGGCCTACCCTCCCTGTGTGCAGTTTCCTGTACATCTCCTTGTGTATCTGGGGTCACTCCATCTGGGCGCTATGGCTTTTGTCTGCATTTAAAACAACAGTGCACCCATGCATTCAAATAAATATGCCTGTGGACACTTCTTTTATTCCTCAAATTCTGCTGTTAGTGTTCCTTTAATTCTCCCGTGTGTGTCCGGGTACAATTTGCAGGTACCATTCATTTTGTGCAGTCAGGTGACTCATCTTGCGCCCTGAGCTCAAAAGGGCTTGACCCCTGGGTCTGCTTGAGGAAAGGAGGTGCGTAAAAGCTTTGAGTAGATGCAAGGATGATAAGACTTCTCAGCCCTAAGCTATGACTCCTAGGTTTATTTTACACCTTCATCTACCTTATTTCTTAGCCTCAAAAGGGGGAAAATAAAGACCCTCTGAAGTTTTGCAGCCACGATCTTCCGAGGAGTGTAGGACCAGCCTCTAAAACCACTCCTGATGGATTGTGGCTGGGCCTGGCCAAAGGATTGAGGAGTAGCAAAGTCTTTTTTTTTTTTTTTTTTTTGGTCTCAGGGCTAGACTCATCCTGACACCGGGTGTGGACTATGTGTCGGGGGTGGGGGGAGAGACCCAATAATAGAAGACTTGGAGCCCCAGGGCGAGTAATGTGAGCTTGGGGCAGAGCTCTCCACCTCAGCCTCCAGCAAGCCTCAGCTTTGTAAGTGGGGCTCGCAAGGACCCGCCCCTCGGCCCCTCCTCCAGCCTCACCGCCTTGCACGGCGCGGGGTAGGCTGTCGGAGATGAGTAACCCACCCTCTGGAGGCCACGCCATTTTTCCAGGGCCCCTAGGATCGTGGAGGAAGGGTACCCAAACCAGTAATCATAGTGTCCTAAAGTCGTCATGCGATGTATTCCTCCGCCAAATCCACCTTGCCGAAGGGCGCAGCTTCTGGTGTTTTGGGTTAGTGGGAGCGCTGGGCTAGGGCTTTGGGGTGAGGGCTGCATCTGCACGTATTCGCGTGCGACTGCCAGCAGTTTCCTGGAATCTTCTGCAAGTGTCTTCTCGTGATTGAGAAAGATGCAGACTTTCGGCTAACTTCGGGTAGTTCGCATCCTTTGGGAGCAACTCCACAGACGGTCTGTCCGTCTCCCTTTCCATGCTCATAAAGTGAAGCCACCTCTCCCTCTCGCTCCTGAAGCTTTCCGAGCCAGGTCAAAGGACAAGAGTCTCGGAGGCCTGGAGGGCTAGGTCCTTATCACACACCACAGAATGTGTTGATTCCAAGGCCCAGGCTGCCTTGGGGACCATTGAGGGCCAGGAAAGAAACGTAAGTGGGGTTAGGAGAGCTGGATAACCACCCCCACATCCACGGCGGGGTGAACTTCCAACCTCCACACATAGGACCTGCCGACCCGACAGCTGAGTGCCCACCCCGTCTGGGATCCAGATTGGCGTTGGCGGAGTGGGAGGGATGGTGAGGAAGTTGGGTTGCTACGGGATGGAGGTGGAGATGGAAAAGGAGAAGAAAAAAGAGACAGGACAGGGTTGGGATGTAGGGATGAAGATAGGGGTGAGGGAGTTGGGGATGCTTCGAAGAGAGCCGGCTTTTCGCCCTGTTGTGGAGAGGTGCATCTGGCTGTTCCCTTGCCCCCCCCCGCCCCAATAAAGCTAATGATGTAGTAATTTAGGAGGGGTGAGGGGCTGGGCGAAAGAAGGGAGGGGAGAGGATGGGGAAACGCGCGCCCCAAGAGCGAAAGCAAACAGCCAGCTAGGGAGGCGCTGCCGGCAGCTCAAGCTTCCCAACAGGTTAGCTAGACTGGGATCCACCCGGTATTTCGCAGGAAGGGGGGGGTCGGGGGGGGGAGAGACGGAGCGAGAGGAAGAGAGAGCCTAACTGGAAGACAGAGGGAGGGAGGGAAAGAGAGATTGGTGCGGAGACACCGAGCTGCGCGGTTTGAAAGGACTTACACTTCCTAATGAATATTTATCCGCCGCTGCTTCTTGCTCCTGGCTTCCCTTACCTTTCCGCAGGTAAGATCCTCCCTGGCCCCCAGCCCCGGGCGGGGATATTTCTACTACTTCCCCAACACTGGTTCGGGGGGGGGTCAGATTGGAGAGCTCTTGGCAGACAGGGGCAGGTGGGGGAAATCGATCACAGCTTAGGCAATGGGGACTTTTGACCCTGCACCGCCAAGAACTGCGTTCGAGGACTACCTGTATAGACTCTGTGTGTGTGTGTGTGTGCGCGAGCGCGCGCGCGCGTGTGAGAAAGGGAGAAGGAGAGAAGAGAAGAGGAGGTGCAGGCACGGAGCGTGTATCAATTTGTGGTGGACTCTGGGGACGTGTTCACTTGGACTCCTCACTTGGATGCCCTGGATTTCTAGCCTTTGCTTTTCTTTGCTTCTCTTCCCCCTCCTTAGTCCCTTCCACCTCCCCAAGCTCGCTCTCCCGGCCTTTGTCCCCAATGCGGTGTCTCTCATAAAAGAGGATGAATAGTTTGGGTCCCACAGAAAGCCCCCACACAAAGATCGTTGGCCCGGGGGTACTCGGTACCCCTTCCTCCCGGCTCCTGAGCTGCTGCACGCTCTTTCTCCTTTCTCCTCTTGGGGCGCCTGGGCACAATCTAAGTAGCTAAGAGTGATGATCGGGACCCAGGGGTACCTGGAGGAACTTCTCCGGAGCTGCCTGACACTTTCCTGGGCTGGAACCCCGTGACCGAAGACCCCCTAGAGGGAGGGCGCTGCTTCCCCGCCGCCCTCCGCCCTCGCCGCCGCTGGCAGGAGGAGCCCGGAGAACGCGCGCCCGCCTCGAGGAAAAGAGGGAGGGGGAAAGGACAGCGCTGGGGAGGGGCTGGCGGTATAACCAGAATTCTTTAAACAGACTTACCCGGCCACCTGTTGAGAATCCATTTGTGGGCGGCTGGCTCCGGATCTGCGAAGGTGGACAACCCAAAAGCCAAGTTGGCAGGGGAAAATTCTTTCTCTGACCGTGTCTGACACGGTCCTCCAAGGCTCGCAGTTCTGCACTGGGGTCGCGAGGCTGTACAGCCAAGAGCTCCTCTTTGCGGGATGCCCTCGCCACACCAGCGCCCCCTTGTCCCCTACCTCCTCGGCTCAGAGGCCAGAGGCGTAGAACCCTCGGACTAGGCGCTCCGGGCTCAGCGTGAGCAGCTCGGGCTTAAGCCGGAGCAGGTTTTCTAAGCCCTGCTCAGAAGTCAAGAGCAGCAGCGCCGCCGCTCCGCGCGGGCCTTTCATGCCGCAGCCGTTCCTTATTCTTGTGTCTTGGCCTCTCTGGGCGCCCCGGGACAAAGCCCCCGGGGTCCGGCCGCACCCTTCTAGCTAAATCCCCTTCGGGGTCAGTGCGCTACCAGCACCGGGCCGCGCGCCTCTCCAGCCAGCCGTGTGGCTCTTAAAGAGCCTCACCCCCACCCCTCCACCCCACGCGCTCAGACCCCCACCTCCCCTCCCCTCTCCTCCGGATCAAGCCCCCGACGCCGACGCCTGAGGTCCCCGCTGCCCCGACCAACGCCCGTGGACTCTCAGCCCCCTCCTCTCGCCTCCTCCCCCGAGCAGCCAGTGGGCCTGGCCTCGGGGCCAGGGAGCTAAATTCTACCCTTCCGTCCCCTTGTATTTAACAGTACCCCCTCACCCCAACTCTCCAGATTATCTCTGCCCTTACTTTTACCTTTGGATGGATTATGCGCTGGACACTACTTTTGCTTAGCTCAGCGATGATCCCTAAAGAGTGTCAGTTTTGGCTTGACTGAGGGTGTGTGTGGGGGGGGATGGGGGCAGGGCATGCCAGTGGAGCTGGATAGAAGGAGGGGAATGCAAGAAGGGAGGGCCAGATGGACAGGAAAGACTCTGCTATCCCAAGCCCCACTTGGCCTTTTGGCAGACGGAGAAAGCTGGCCCAGTTCTGCCCCTTCCTAGAGATGTTCATGCTGGAATGGGATCTTAAGGTTACCAACTGACCAAGCTTGCAGCTTGTCCCAGAGATTGTCAACAAATGGGGGTAGGGTTCCAGAAGCCCCTAATGGTGGATCTGAGAGCATTGCACATTCCCAGCCCAGGGCATTCACTTTCCAAAAAGTAACCTCTAAGGGCCCAGGAGCTGTATTTGCAAGGCGAAGGAGACCTTTAGTTTCAACTATCCAGGGTAAGAGGCAATGAAGGAGAAAGAGTCAACTCTTCCTAAGGAACTAGGCACAATTTCTAACATAGTTGCTTATATTTATTAGCCTTTACTTGCACCCAAGAAAAGGGGAAAGTGTGGAGTAAGTAATTGCCTTAGCTTCCTTTTCTTCCAAAGCTTTCCCGCTCTTCTGCTCCCCTGGCCTGTTATTAAATGCTGACTCACAAGAGTGGCACTGCTAGGGTACTTTCTTCAGGCCTCTTCAGGACTAGAAATACGATTTAAGAGAGAGGAGGGAGGGAGAGAGAGAGAGAGACCTCAGAAGGGACAGTTAGGGGAGAAATATGAAAGGTTGGGATAGGCTATGATACCCTGCAGTATCATTCACTGCCAACAGTCATGTCATTTGAGTGTTTGGCTCTGTGGGTGGTGGGAACAATGGTGTATTGGGGAGCTGAACACACCCACCCTTTCTCCATGCAGGGCCTGGTTCTTGCTGTCAGAAGAGGAGTAGTGGGGAGAAATGCAAGGCCTCCTGGCTAGTAGAAACCAAAGGAACTTGAAGAGGGAGCCTAGAAAACTGATCCTCCCCTGGGCATCTGACCTCTGCCACTCAGACATTAGTCCAGGTGCACCTTTAAGGAAACCAGGATGCTAATTGATTTAAGGTTGTCTCTCATGGGGGATGCTCAAGGTGTAATCCCCCTGGGCTAGATCCCAGGCTGAAGTCGGCCTCCCTCCCCTCCTCCGCCCCCCTCCCCCAGCGGCGTTCACATCTCCCAAGTCTCTGGCTCCTTTCTCTTAGGGCTACATCATGGCAGCCAGCTAGGCTGTGTGCATTTGTGCCCACCCTCCTAGGCCTGGCAGTGGGAGGTGTTGTGGCCCAAGACAGAGCCAAACTTCTCTTGTCTGAGGATGTGGGGGGTGGATGGGGCCTTTAGCTGGCGGCAGGACTCATTAGGCAGAGTGGGGTGCGGAGAGGTGCGCGCCGCCGGCCCCTGAGGCCGCTTTTGAGCCGTCGGGGCAGCTTCATTAAGCGGCGCTAACAAGGCGTACAAATGCCTGGCCTAGCAGCTTTCTTGCAATGCCGGGGCCTTAGCAGGGCGCCAGGCTAATGAGGGTCACTCAAAGGGGCTGATCAAATATTCAAATTTCCCCGCACGCCGGGAACTTTTATGCAAGGAGAAAGTTGAGGCAACTGAGCTGTGTTTATGGTTCGGGGCGACAATTGCTTGAAGCGCGGGTCCCCGGCGGATAAGGGAGGGGGCAGGGGGTGCGGGGGAGGGGGTAGTTGTTGTTGTTGTTGTTTTTCAAAGGAAAGTAATCGGGGTCCTTGAAGGGCTTCAGCGGCCTCCCCGCCTGCGTGCTTCGCTCCCCTGCGCCCTCCCTGGCGGTCTGCGCCAAGCTCCTAAGTTTTCCGCTAGCGGGGAGGCCCAGACTATAGGCCACCCGGTCAGCCTCCACATCCAAACGTCCTGGGAGCCGGAAGGACTAACCTTCCTGGGCTACCCGAATCTGATCCTTAGAGTTGAGCGAGCCCCGAGTGCATCCTTCTTAGCCCTGCCGGATCGTCCTCTCCCGGAGGTCTGCAGACCTCTGGCTTTCTCTGTAACCAGAAACAAGGGAGCGTTTGGGTGGGAGGGAGGGAGTCTCCAGGGTTTGTCTCCTGGATGCAAACTGTTTAAGATTTCTCAGTGTTGGGGCCTAGTAGCTCATGATAGGTAAACACCGTCCAGTAGTCAGAAGCCCTCTTTCCTCCCGCACCATCTTCTGATCACAGAGGTGGGGTGGAAGTGGAGGCGGTGGTGGCAGTTTTGTTCACCACAGGTGATTTAGGCCTGTACTCACGCCAGGTCCCAGATCTGGGAGAGTGAGCGGCCAGAGGCCAAAGGGGGACGATCTACGGTCCCCCAAAGCTGACCCGTTCCCTAGGATAGACTGCGAGTGCAGTCTTCGCTAGCGGGCCATCTCCTCCAGGCGTTCCCTGCGGGCTGACTTCCTAAACCTCGAGCTTAGTCCTCAGACCAGCCAGCAAGAAAGGCCGCCTGCGTCCTGGAAACCCAAGGCCCCTACCCGCCCCTCCTCCCTAGCTCTCAAAGCCTGGGAATTTGAGAGAAGAAGCCTCTGGAGCTCCACAGCACCCCCTTTCCATCCAAACACGCACTCGTCACCCTGAAACCCAGACCCAGCGGAGGCTGCGCTCCGGGCTCCGCCGGAAACCATTCTTTCCACCCGCTCCGAGGACCAGCTGCAACCGCCTTCCCCGCCCAGCTCCCGGGACTCTCAACTTACGGCTTCAAGCGGCCGGCGTAAAGCTTCCGGCCCGAGCGGAGAGGCGCTCCGGGCGGCGGGTCCGCAAACGGGGCTCGGCGGGCGGCGCGGAGCTCAGCTCCGCGGAGAGGCGCCGACAGCTGGGAGCTGCTGCCCGCCCCGCCGCGGCCGGCCAAGTCCGGGCGCACAAAGCTGAGCGCCCCTTCGGCTGCCCTCCTAGCTTTGCGCTCCTCGAGCCGCGGCTGCCATCTGAACTGATGGGGGTGCGGCGAGCCGGCGGGCTCCCGGGTAGAGGCTTGCGGAGCCGGGGTACCGCCGAGCCGAGCCTCAGCTCCTCTTTTCTCAACTCTCCCAGAGTGGCAAGGGTTTTCGATTTCAATCTGCGCTTTCGGCAGAGCCCCGCGGCACCTGCCCAGCCTCCCTTGGGGCTGGTACCACCGCCACGGGGAGAGGCCAGGTCGCCCCCACCCCACGCAGAGGCGGGGGTTGTAGGGATTGGGAGGGACTGACCGGGTTCACCCGCCCGACCGGCGCCTAGGTCCTTGGCTCGGGGGGGGGGGAGATGCAGTTTCGGGGTCACGAGCTGCTTTCAAAAAGTTGAACACAATATTCGGAAACCCACCCGTAGGAATGCTTCCCCCCCCACGCGGCACAATACCCACTCCCCTCCCCTTTTTCATTCCTTCCTCCCCCGCTTCCTCCTGCCCCTTCCCCCTCCCACCTTTCAGCCTGTAATCCTTCCCCTACGAGAGAAAGGATCGGGAAGAAAAGATGAAGTGTCTTGTTTTTGTGTCCCAACCTCTGGGCTCTTTTCTTGGCCCGCAGTGAACGACCGCCCAGAGTTTCACAGCTAAATGGAAAAGGAAGATATTTGGAGAGAAGGGACCTCCGAAGTGGGGCCTGACAGATCCTTCCTTTGGGGGAATATTTCTTTGCCCCAATCAGCGGGGCTTAGGTGAGATCCCCTACTGCCTCTGGCTGAAGTAGTCCTTGTGGGCCGCTCGCCCAACTCCAGGTCTCCTAAGTCATCTATAGGAAGCCATAGGAAGCCTGACGCAGCAAGGGTCCAGGCCTAAATGCGGGGCCTGAGCTCTAAGTTTAGGGGCTAGGACAGTCTCAGCTCCAGTCACGTTAGGTTCCCATTTAAATTCTTCCTCAGTCTCTTTTTCTCTCCTTCTTCATTGAGCTCTCCAAAGTGGTGTAGACCCAGCGCCGGGCCCCCAGATCTGCATTGGAATGCAGAAAAGATCTTTTTAAAAAAAAAAAAGTTTTGAATTCCTCAATGATTTTTTCTTCTGGAAAGGCAGCTTAGGATAATTATTTCAGCTTTATTGAGGGCAGATTAGTTGAAGTCTGGGCGCTGCGTTTCAATACGCGTTGTACACGGGCCGACAATGTGGGCATTGTTGGCTACTGTGTGTGAATCCATTCAACATATACACTTTTTAACACCAAACCGAATCCTGTCTAAATATACACAGTGCGTAGGGAAAGACATCTCTGACCCGGACAAATCTGCGTAAATCACACTTCCATAGTTACAGAAGCCTCACAAAAGGAGGCCGGGGCTCAAGATGCTGATTACATCTTCTTAAAAGCAACATACCTAAGAATAAATGCTCATGCCTGGTCTGGGGCTATAGTATGGGGGAGAGAGGGAACGTTCCCTGTGCAATTCCTGGACATTTTGTAGATGCTTGCTTTATTATTTATTATAATTGTTATTTACCGTACGAACAAGTAAGCAATTCTCAGAGCTATACATATGCTCAGGGTGGCCTCCAAACTTCCAGTGGCTTTCTTGGGCTGGTGAGCAGGCCCAGAGCCTTTTCTGCTGTCTGTGGGTAGGGTGTGTGTTGGGAAGGGGAGCAGGCATCTTTGGACTCCCAGAGGGCTCCTAGGTTTCTGGGCTCCCATAGCTTCTTCACACTTGTCCAAGGTGACCAAAGTCTTGAGGGTGAGGACAAAGAGTTGGTTTGCTTTTTCACATGAAAAGAAGTATGTCCATCCCCCCCCATCACTATTTTAAATTATGAGAGTTAGGAGAAATCAAGATTCCTTGACTGAGAGTTGAGGAGTCAATGTAGAGAGAGTTGGGCTAAATGTAGCCCACTGCACTGCGTCCTGGGCTCAAACTCCTAGCTCCCACATGCCCCTCTTCCCCAAAGTGGGATTCCTAAGGAAGCTGCGTGAGTGTGTGATGGGCCCCATGATCCTTTCTTTCTTTTTCTTTCTTTCTCTTTTCTTCTCTCTTTCCTTCCTTCCTTCTCCTTCCTTCCTGCCTGCAGTTCGATAAGCACACTAAGTGCAAACCTTGCGGGCTCCGCGGGCTTCCTGGAGCCCTGAAGAGGGCCTCTTGCCTTCCCACAAAAATAGCCCCTGAAATCGGTCATCTCGGTCAACTACTCTGTGTCCACGGCTTTTCCAATTTCTAGACCAACTTCTTTGGGAAAGAGTGGAAGAAGGCAGGAGAGAGGAGAAAGAGAGAGATAAGAGAGGGAAGTGGAGAGATTAAGAGTTGCAAAGATTTGAAAAAAAAATCTGTTTCTCCCCCTTCTCTCTCCTTCCCTCCCCCCCCCCACTCTGGCTAAGTGGAAAAACCGTCCTTACGTTCTCGGTATTGATTGGCAGGGCTGACAGTGATTGGCAGTGGTTGCCATGGCAACGCCACAACGACACGCCGCAGACCAATAGAAAAGCGAAACAAAATGTTTCAATGCTGCACTCACTGTGGATTTAGGGGAGATATTATGAGGCTGTTGTCATTAGGGCGATTGCTGTGGAATCGCTGAATCTTGACTCGGCGGTGGTTGGCTCTCGCTCTGCTCTCTCTCCCACTCCCTCTCCCTCTGTCTCGGGTTCTCTCTCTCTCTCTCTCTCTCTCTCTCTCTCTCTCTGCGCGCGCGCACCGGGCCGCTCGCTCTCCTTCCTCCCTCTCTATGTGGCTGCGCGGGTGTGTGTGTGTGTGGATGTGTGTGGGGTGTGGGTGTCCCTTACGTCCTTCCTCCTCCCCCTCCTCCTCCTTCTGCTCCCCCCTCCTATCCCTCTCCTCCTCCCCCCTCTCCTCTCCCTCCTCCTGGTCCTCATCGCCCCTCTCCTCCTCTTCCTCCCCTCTCTCTTCCTCTCCCTGAATTTTCTCCTCTCCTCTCAGGTCAGTCCATGGTATTCCGCTCCCCCCTAGACCTCTATTCCTCCCACTTCTTGTTGCCAAACTTCGCCGATTCTCACCACTGCTCCCTACTTCTGGCGAGTAGCGGCGGCGGGAACAGTGCGGGAGGCGGCGGCGGCGGCGGCGGCGGGGGAGGCGGCGGCGGCGGCGGCGGCGGGGGAGGCGGCGGCGGCAGCGGCGGCGGCGGCTCCAGGGCCCCCCCGGAAGAGTTGTCCATGTTCCAGCTGCCCACCCTCAACTTCTCGCCGGAGCAGGTGGCCAGCGTCTGCGAGACGCTGGAGGAGACGGGCGACATCGAGCGGCTGGGCCGCTTCCTCTGGTCGCTGCCCGTGGCCCCCGGGGCTTGCGAGGCCATCAACAAACACGAGTCGATCCTGCGCGCGCGCGCCGTGGTGGCCTTCCACACGGGCAACTTCCGCGACCTCTACCACATCCTGGAGAACCACAAGTTCACCAAGGAATCTCACGGCAAGCTTCAGGCCATGTGGCTCGAGGCGCATTACCAGGAGGCCGAGAAGCTGCGCGGCCGCCCGCTCGGCCCGGTGGACAAGTATCGCGTGCGCAAGAAGTTCCCGCTGCCGCGCACCATCTGGGACGGCGAGCAGAAGACGCATTGCTTCAAGGAGCGGACTCGGAGCCTGCTGCGGGAGTGGTACCTGCAGGACCCCTACCCCAACCCCAGCAAGAAACGCGAACTGGCGCAGGCCACCGGCCTCACTCCCACACAAGTAGGCAACTGGTTTAAGAACCGGCGGCAGCGCGACCGCGCCGCAGCGGCCAAGAACAGGTCAGTGGGGGGGGGGGGAATTCTCTGGGGGGAGGGCCGCCCCCCGCAATCCTTGCGGGCTGCTGGGGAAAGGGGAGACGGGTTGAAATGCAGGCGACCAGGGGACGGGTTTAGGGGGAAGGGGGCGGCTGCCCAGCGCAGGAGAGACTGGGGCTCTCTGGCTAGTTGGAGAAAGTTTGCGATTGCCCCGGGACAGGGGATGCGCACTGGGGTTTATTGACTGCTTTGCTCCAAAAGGGCTTTTGTCCAAATGAAGGGAGTGTAGCGTGAGGCCTTGGGCCTCACCGCCCGCCCGTGGTGGCCGCCCCTGGAGTCGGTTCCGGGCGCTGCACCTCAGCCCTGGCTCCAGCTAGGCACTCTTCTGAGTCTAGAGACTGGGAGGGAAAGAAAGTGGGCCTTGCTATTTCATTCTTACGTGGGGTGCTTTGGGGTGTGTGTGGGGGGGACCTGAGGGGAATCCACACACATCAGGGACAGGAAAGCGAACCTGGGTCCCGGCCACAAAGGGAAAAAGGTCGGGCGGCCACCTTGCTGGAGACCTTCTTCCCCAAACGTAGCACAGTGGCTGATCCTGAACTGGAGAGCCTGGCCAGGGGGTGGAGAAGGGATGTGTGTGTGTGTGTGTGTGTGTGTGTGTGTGTGTGTGTGTGTGTGTGTGTTTACCTCCACCTATGCGTGCCTTCCTTTCCTGGCCAAGGAACATCTCTTTGGTCCACTAAGTTGGGGAAGCTGGGGAGCAGGCAAGTTAGCCATAAAGTTATAAAGTTGTACTGGGCTTGTTGGGGAGGAAGTGAGGAGCGGTGGAAGAACAGAGAGAAGGAAAGGACTAAGCTAACTGTAAGCCAGGATCGGAACCCTGGGTCCCCGCTCAGCTTGAAAAGGCTCAGGGCCTAGTACAGGGCAGAGAGCCTGCCCCCAACTGCTGACAGCTGCTAGGGGCTGAGTGTGAGTTCGTGGAGTGTGTTTGGGTTTAGGTATCCCAGGCCTGCGCCCACTGCCCTCTCACCCCTGCCTCTAGAGCCCACTTTTCGCCTGATGAGGGGACTGCCCAAAGACAGGATAGGCCTTCTTGCAGGAAGAACTGTGACACACTAGGTTCGCATAGCCGGTTTCTAGCCCAGGAAAGAGCCAGATACCACTCTCTGCATTCTTCCTCTTCCTTTTCCCCTTCCTCTACCCCCATTTTCCCACTTCCAGCGCCCCTATGTTTTTTTTTTTCCTATCCCGGATCCTGCGCTTTTGCTCCAGAATCCCGAAAGCAAAGCCAGCAGGTCCTACCAGGGAGAGGCGGCCAGGGAGAAGCCCGAAGCTTTGGGGAAGCATGGGTAGCACTTCGGGGAACCCCACATCTCTTTAAGCAGCCGGCTAAATCTGAAAAGCCCTTTGGGGTTAGAGAGGAAGAAGCTCTGTGTTCCTTCCCTACTTCTGCTCCATTACGATTCCGATTCTGAGACCTTTGCTGTTTGCCCAGATCATACCCCCGCAGGCCCGAGACACCCCCTCTCCATCCAGGCGGGTTTCTATCTGGGGAGCTTTGGAAAACCTCTCTTGGGAAGGGAGCTTAGGCTCACGGGCGGGCTAATTGCAGCTAGGTGCCTGGAGAAAAAGAAGAGTACAAGGAGCACGGTGCAGTTGGGGGGCAGTGACTTCGGGGCTCGGGCTGGGGGAGACTAGGATTGGGGGGGAGTAGAGGGAGGCAGCGGGTGGCTGGCCACTGTTTCAAGGCCAGCACGGCTTTCTCTCTCTCTGCTGCAGGCTCCAGCACCAGGCCATCGGACCGAGCGGCATGCGTTCGCTGGCCGAGCCCGGCTGTCCGACGCACGGCTCGGCAGAGTCGCCGTCCACGGCGGCCAGCCCGACCACCAGCGTGTCCAGCCTGACAGAGCGCGCGGACACCGGCACCTCCATCCTCTCGGTAACCTCCAGCGACTCGGAATGTGATGTATGATAGCCAAGGCGGCCCTCCTCCCCCACCCCTTCCCTCTCCAAGTCCTCCTCCTCCTCCTTCTCCTCCTCCTCTTCACCCACCTCCTCTCCCTTCAGTTCCCACTCCATCCCCAGAACAAACCGAAAATCAGGATACACAACCATACACACATGAGTCCACATACACTCCCACCCCAGCCAAAAAAATATATATATAAACCAAGAAAAATAAATTAACCGCAAACCACCAACAACTCCCCGACCATCTAACACCATGGCCATCCCCAAAAGGACCGCGACGCCAACGGTCACAAATGATGCTGTTGCGGGCAGAGAACATAAAAGAAGTGACCATTGTATACTTTCTAGGACAAGCACGGCTCCTCCTTTTGGTTCCCACGGACCCGGCACCCCACCTGCATGACGATTTATTTGTATCTGGGAAAATATTCTCTCTAGTTAAAAATGATTTAAAGAGTCGACTATACAAAAACAACCATAACCACGATGACAAGACGACAAAAGCAAAACAGACAAAAAAAAAATCAGCCGTCTCCGTTCGGAATTTGTTTAAAAAAAAAGAATGAAAGGAAAAAAAAAGAACTCCTGGAGAGAAATAGCAAATGTTTCTCGCCTTTTGTTGCTCTCTCTTTCTCTCTCTCTCTCTCTGTCTCTCTCTCTCTTTTCCTCTCGCTCTTCCTTTCTCTTTCTTCCCTGTTTTTGAGTCCAAGTATTGGTTAAACAAGATGCAATCTTCTGTTTTTTTGTTCAGCAGACAATCATTTTCTTCGTAAGCACCTTTTCTCTCCACTCTGTCACTGCCTGTGTGGGTACTGGTTATAAATGTGGAAAAAAAAAAGAATAGTTATGACTGTAACAGATTTTTATTTTTATTTCAAAATTTTATATGAATTATGTATATCTTAATGATCGGTCATTTTCCCAGTTTGTAATATATGTGTAGAAATTGCCTGTATATGATATTGCTTTTTCTCCTCTCCCTTTCTCTTTCTTTCTCTCTCCTCCCTTCTCCCCCCCTTCCTGCTTACCTGTCTCTTTCCTTTTTTGGGGTTCCTTCCTCCCACTTGGTATTCCTGGCGTCGGCTGAGTCAAGGTGTGGTGTGGTGCCCCAAGTTAGGCTGAGGGACCCCGTCGCTAGCAAAAGCGGAGAGTGAGGCTGTAGTCTTCTTATGCACAAGCTATTTCAAGTATTTCTTAGCCGCTTTGAAGGTATCACTCACTCCCCGTAGGGCGCTTTTACTGTTATCTTAACTGCGTGTTTATCTATATGTAAAAACTTTCTAAAGCAAATACAGTATTCTCCATTTTCTTATCACTCCCAGAGACTTGTGTTTTTGTCCACCCCTAGTTCCCAGCTCCTGGGTGCAGCGGCTGGGCCTTCCTCTCCAACTCCACAGCCGTCGGAACAGGGACAACATTTCAAAATGAGTGGGGAGCTTTTTTTTTTCTTTCTTCTTCTTCTTCTGGGCGCAAAACTGGGAATAGGCCCTGAGGGTTAGAGCCCTAGCTGAATCCTGAGCTAGAAGGCAGTGGAAGCCGGATGCAAAGGAGGACAGGAACACCGAGTGTTCCGAGTGAGATGCCAGGCTCGGCCCACCGAGTTGCTTTCTTCCTGGAGCCACAGCCCTTTGTGGGTCCCAGGTTGTCTTCGAGTTGTGTTGCTTTGCTTTTTAAAAAGCAAAACACACAAGGTTGCCAGTCTCAAGCATCCGTCCTGAATAGAGATTCACACTCTCCCCACTCCACCAGACAGGGTGATCAGGGGAGAAAGGTAGTTTGTGGTATTTGGGATCTAGGGTTAGGATGGCCCCCTCATTATCCATTACTGCCCAGATGTGTACTGTGTAACCGTGTGACTTGCCTTATGGCTCTAGATCTGTCTTCCCGAAATTTCTTCCTAACACCCAGAATCTCTCAAGCCCCTGAGATCTTTCTGATTTGGATCACAGTGTAAAATGAAAACCAGAAAAACCAAAACCAAAACCACCACAGCCTATTGCTAACTACATTCCTTCTGGCCTCAGGCCTCCCTTCCCTTCGTGTTTGTGTGTGGGGGGGCAGGATGGAGGAGAGCTCAGTTCTCAGGGATAGTGTGGCTGGTGGTGGCTTCCTTGCTCTAGGGCAGGATAGCCTGTGTCTGAGGAAGAACCCACGAGGTCATTTCAGAAAACCTGCCCTCACTTGAAAGTCCAATTTCCAAGAGAAGATTAGGGAGAGATGCGCCTGGAAGTTCGCACTAATTCCAAACTAATTTTGACTTCCGATTTCCTTTTGTCCTCATCCCAGGCGGCACAGGGGGTGGGCGTGGGTTACATAGGCCAGCTTGGGCAGGGGTGCTGCATGGCCAAGGGAAGCCATGGGTGTGCCAGAGAACCCACACCTGCTTGGCGGATGGGGTCGCCATCCCTACTTGCAACCCTCTAGCCCCAGCTTCCAAGTTCTGTGGCCTCCCACATATCAGAATCTCTGAGTGTGTTCACTGCCCGGGAAAGCCTTCCCCAGTGGAGAGTTTCCAGAAATATGGCAGTAGGTGGAGTTTGGGGAAAGGACTGCTTGTATTCCACCCACTTGACCCTCTGCTCTGGAAGGAGGGGTTCTGTCATCGTCTCTTCTTTTTACATGGTCATTCACCTACTTAACCCAGAACTTGAACGTGGAAACCCAAAGAAGTGGCTTCTTCAGTGTGGACCAGGTGGCTGAAATTGGTGGGTGGAAGGAAATGGTTGACACTACTGGAGAACAACTTCTGGAAAGGCCTAGGCTGGGAACAGGTGCCTTTATATCTGGGGCCAGGGAACAGACTTGGGAATTATACTTCCTTCTCTCAACCTACATGGAAGAAAAGGCAATGTGGGAATATTCAGTGTCCACTCTTCCATTGGAGAAAACAAGGATCAAGCTCCACAACAAGCCTTAGGCTTGTGGAGCCTGGGCCATGTTTAGTGCCACCAGTCTGTTTTCTTTTCATCTAGCTTGCTATCTGTCATCCCTGCTCTCTCATCTACCAGGTCTGCATAAATACCAATACTCGATTATCTGCACTTTCTGACCTTACTCACATGTTCCTTTCAGGAGGAATGTGTTTGCTGCTTGTGGGTAGTGTATGTGTATGCAATTTTGAATGTGGGGTTTGGGAGCGGGGGCAGGGAGAGGGCTTTCACCACTCAATCAAGTTTTACATACAAAAAGCATGGATATGCAATGATGTTTGGCATAAACACATGTACAGTGCATTGATACGGACCCCGTGTTTTGTACATATCGCTTAGCTTAGGTACAGTACATGTGTGTGGCTTGAACAGTTTATCTAGTTCCGTAAGAAGTACTAGGGTAGAAATGCATCTATAAGATGCTGTGTTTAGGAGCTTTCTTTCTACTGGACATGTATCTCCTGAGTTCCTGTTTTCCTATGGATACTTGTGGTTCATTGTTCTAGTCAGTCCATAGACATGACCACTAAACTGCCAACCCCTTACAGGCTTTCCTGTCCCTTTAAGAAATGCTGTGTGTGTGTGTGTGTGTGTGTGTGTGTGTGTGTGTGTGTGTGTGTGTATGTATGGTGTGTCTCACAATGGGTATTCATTATCTGGAGAGCCAGAGGGGTTGGGTTCTTTAGCTTTTTGCACTTCACCCTTTACCTTGATACACTGGAGATATTACAGTGGATTTGGCCTCTGCCCCTTTAAACACAGAGTGGGGAAAAGAGGCCATTTTCTGGTCAGATCTTACCTTTTACTCCAACGTCTGTCCATTCTCTTCCCCAGTTGCCAAAGCCCTGGCCAAAACAGTCCAAGTCTCAAGGGTCTGCCATAGTAAGGCTGAGCTAAAGCCCAGCTTCTCTCTCTCTCTCTCACACACACATACAAACCATCTGAGCCCCACCTCCTGTCAATATTGTAGGATGTGTCTGGACCAAGAGAGCATGTGCATTGTATGCTCTGGTATGGGCCTCCTGGGCCTGAGTGAGACTAGATAAACAGGCCTAGGTGTTAATCGTCAGTCTGCTCATCTAGACTGCACAGCAGCAGCTAGCAGGCTAACTCATCTCCTGGCATCAGAGGACTGGACCCGCTTCCAACTGTGCACTTCAGCCTGGGGTCCTAGCTGGTCTCCTGGCTCTGAAATTTCTCCAAGTTAGGTATACCTGGCCCCTTTCTCTAGGACCTAAGGAACCTGAGGAATAACAGCCAATTCGATGACATTTTCTTCTTCCTTGCCTCCCTCAAAGAAAAACAATGATAATCCAAGATTTGCATTGAAAACTCACAGGCGTGGATGGTGTGTGAAACTGGGACAATCTATAATAAAGACCTAACATCTAGAAGTCTCTTGCCTAAGGACAGACAAGCCAAACTACTGCTGCCTGCTTGTTCCCCTCCCCTCCCCTTCCCTTCCCATCTCAAGCCCCAGCCCAGGGCCCCCACCTGCCTTCTCTTCTTGCTCTCCTGGGATCCTGCAGAGTCCACTGTCCATTGCCAGAGCAGTTGAATATTCCCAGTAAGAGTACAACTGGTTAAAATGAAGTGATGGGCAGCTGTCTCAGACAGTGAGAGAATGCAGATCGATAGAGGCACAAGAGCCTGGTGGTTGGGCTTGAAATTGGGGCTGGAGGTACTGGGACTAGACTATGTGGTCTGCCCGGGCATGGTGTTGGCTCAGTAAGGCTCTGTGAAGTCTAAGCCTGGACCTAGGCACACCAAGCCGGATGGACCAGGACCTCTCGTGTGGGCCGTGGAGGTGAAATGACCACCTCTGTTTTTTTTCTGAAGGAAAACAGCATGGCTTGCCACATCCTGGACCCAGCCCCTCACCTTGCAGCCTGCTACCAGGCCTGTGGATGAACGGGGCATCCTCTAAGCCAGGGCTGTCCCAAACTGTTCCTGTCTCCCTTGGCCTCCAGGGCTCTTTAGTCCTGCCAAAGCCTTTGTTTCGTTGTTACCTGGAGCACCGGCTGCTGACTTGGAGGTTTTCACTGCCCTCCACATGTCCTCCTCTACCCCAGCCGTCTGGCCTGCCGGGAGGCTGGGCTACAGGTCCACATACTCAGGCCCCCTCAGCCTCCCACTGCTGGGACTCCTTCCGGCTCCAGCTGAGCTGAGCTGCCCCTGTGTCCCAGTATGCAGGATGGGGTGGCTGTCTGGCCTGAGGGAGGGTGGATGAGGGCAGAAGAGGGCAGGAAGAGGGCAGGGGGGAGGGCCAGAGAGAGCCAGGAGGAGGGGAGCAGTACTAGCTTG